CCTACTATCTATGAGAATTGACAGATCAGCTATGAATGGTGAAGCAGGCTCGAGGGATCCAATGGCCTACTCCTGTTCCTATTTCTTATGGTTTTAAAGGCAAAAAGTGAATATTTTTGTAAATATATTTAGAAGAGGGCGATAAGCAGGATTATTAGCAGGATGAGGAGGCAAAGGCCTAGTTAATCCAGAGACCCAGGTAATGTTCTGGGGACCCGGGTTCGAATCCGGCCGTGGCAGATGGTGGAATTTGAATTCAATAAATATCTGGAATTAAGGGTCTAATGATGGCCATGAATCCATTGTCGATTGTCAGAAAAACCCCTCTGGTTCACTAATATCCTTTAGGGAAGGAAACTGCCATCCTGACCTGGTCTTGCCTACATGTGGCTCCTACAGCAATGTCGTTGACTCTTAACTGCCCTCTGGGCAATTAGGGATGGGCAATAAATGCTGCCTAGCCAGCAATGCCCTCATCCCGTGAATGAATAATAAAATAAATTTGGGCCAATGTCCACTTCACAAGGGATACAGTTTTAGAAAAGAAGCATTGACTGATAGATTAATTGCGTTCTTTTCAATTTCACTGTAGGGAAACAGGGTGAAATACTTGAGAGAGAAGGTAAACTAAAATAAATCAATAGGAGAAATTTGTAAACAGTATGGCAGTGGAGAAAATAATGGGATTTAACGGTTGAATTTCGAGAACCCAATACTTTCCACCTCAGAATATTAAAATAATTATGTGAAGCAAGTGCGGATGTATTCATCATAATATTTCAAAGCTCTGATCATTCAAGAATTATGTCAATCAGTGGGAAATTTACTAGTTCACACCATTTTTTAAGGAGAATGGAAAGAGAACCTGGGGAGCTAGAGCCTTGTTATTTCAGTAGCAGTTGTGCAGAAACAAACAAAATTTATCATTAAGGATGGGGTGATTGAACACTTGTATCAATATGAGTTGATCAGGTCTGAGAAGCATTTTGGATTTATTTTGCAGAGATCAGTAAGAAGGCAGGTGAGGAAGTGTGTTTTACTATTGTTTGTTAAGTTACAGAAGGTATTGAATATGATTCAACATCATTAGCAAAAGCAAGAGTGCATAGAATTGGAGGTAACATATAGATTTGGTTGGAAGTTGATTGTGAAGGAACAGAGAGAGCTTGGAGAAAAATATAGATGTTTTGAATGTCAAGATATGATAGAAACTGGGCAATGTGCAGATAACTTTTTTCCCCCAGGAGCTGTTCCAAGGTCTTTGTTTTCATCTTATTTAGTAACAACTTGATGAAGGAATATAGTGATGTATATTCAAGTTTGCAAGTTGGTAAATACTTAGGAGGGCACTTATTTCAATTCCACGAAGTTATGTAAACTGGAGCTAAAAATTGTAAAGGGTCATGTACAGAATAAGTGAGTGGCCCAGACTATGACAACAAAGCCTGATGTCGGAAAATGTGAGATCATTTACATTGGAGAGTAAAATAACTCCACAGTGGCCAGTGTCCTGTCACCAAGTCACCTTTTGTTTATGTGTGGAGAGTCCTTGACCCTGATCCAGCTTCTTCAGGGCCAGCTCTCAGATTGAACAGAATGCCTGATATTCCTATCCTTTACTTTCAGTCAGGAGCTCCTGATTGGACCAGGTTAACATCCCTAATCAGGGAACTCATATTCTGTGAGGTACACCTGGCTGACTTTGTTACAATCTCTACATTCCTCCCCTTTGAGTCTGAGGACATGAGCTGGTTCTTTCTTTTTTGTAGCTCCTCCTGAGGTGTTTTAGCACTGAGTCAGATTCCTCCAACTCTGCTTTTGATACGGGCAGTGTGTAATGCATAGTATGTCACGTCTTGTGCACGGAGCATCTCGGAAGAAATTCATTCTGTTCCTCAGGCGGCAAAGGCATCGAGGCGACGACATCCATTGCATCTATCTCAGATTCCAAGGTATCTTCAGCGCTTGATGGAGAGGGAGAACCCACTTGTTCTAAAACAGTCAGAAAGGCTGTCAAGGAGCTGGACACATTTTGTTCCTGCACCGTTTGCAAGTTTGCAGCTTTCATATGGTCCAATTGCATGTTCAGGACCATTACACCTACCCAAACCTTATACATCACTGGACCTGAACTTGCGTCGACCATGCCTCTTACCCATGCAGGGCCATTCCTGTGGTTCCTACGCCAAACATTGACCCCTGAAGTTAACTGTCTCTCTTGTTTGGTGGAGTCTTGTGTCTGGCATTGGCATTTCTGATGCTGATTCACCCTACCCCTCAGGTCCAGGAAAATCAGATTTAACCTGGTCTGGAGTCTACTTTCCATTAGCAACTCTGCTGGAGCTATCCCTGTAGTTGCATGAGGGATAATCCTATAATCAAACAGGAACTGTTTGGTATCTAATGAAGCTGTACCATGTTTCTTTAAGCCTGCCTTCAAAGCTTGGATTGCTGTTTCTGCCAGACCATTGGATGATAGATGGCATCAAGCTGTCCTTATATGTTGAATACCATTTGACTTTAGGAAATACTCAAATTTCCTGTTGGTAAATGATGGTCCATTATCTATGATGAGCAGTTCTGGGAGTATTACA